AGGACTCATTGTAAATGAAACGTTTTACAACTTATATTGGTTTTAAAAGGAGATAACAAAGTACTATATACTTGTTAGAAAATAATGGTCATGAAAGTTATAGTAATTCAAATATCAAATTCTGGAAAGGAGTGAGAGTGGGCTTTTCTCTTTGATTCAAGATATAATTAAGAATCATAATACATTGGGACTGTATTAAGTCACAAGTCACCTCGGAGTTGTAGAGGACATAGTAAAATAACACATCATGTTAGAATTGTAGATAGCATAGTAAACGACAAGTTACAAGTTATGTCAAAGTCATTTACAGCATAGTAAAATAACAGCAGTCATATTTGGACTTTAAAATAGCCACCAGAAACAAGAAGATTAAGAACAGGACTGCATAAGCTTATGGGGTTTCCTTTTCCCACAGAAACTTTACAGTGACAACCAAGGGAAAGGAAATTCAGTTTGTTTATCAATAAAATATTGTTTTTAATTTTTAAAAGAATCAAGATGTGTATATAATGACCAAGTTTAGACATTACACTAGATTATAATATTAAATTACATATGCAAGCATTTGGCTTCTGCATTCCCTTGCCCCTTTTTTCTTCTCCAGTAGAATTATAGAGTTGGAAGAAACCTCATGGGCCATCTAGTCCAACCACCTGCCAAGAAGCAGGAAAATCACATTCAAAGCACTCCTGACAGATGGCCACCCAGCCTCTGCTTAAAAGCCTCTAAAGAAGGACCCTCACCACACTCTGGGGCAGAGAGTTCCACTGCTGAATAGCTCTCACAGTTAGGAAGTTCTTCCTAATGTTCAGGTGGAATCTCCTTTCCTGTCATTCAAATCCATTGTTCCTGTTCTAGTCTCCAAGGCAGCAGAAAACAAATGAGCACATCCCTCCCTATGACTTCAAGAAAGATAGTGGAAGCTTTTGCTTCCGTGCTTTGTTAGCTGTTGTTTATAATTTTGCAATAGTTTAGTCACTTGTTTTTAGTTTATACAATTTTTATATTACGGCTTGATGAATAAACTATCTTCATAAACTACAGTGGGTTCAGATCAACTAACTGTAGTTAAGACTATTCTCTTTTTGATCAGGTTTCAACTTTCAAAATTAGCTGTTTGGAAGGAAAAGCTTCTAAACATCTTTATCCACATATGAATTCACAGTGGAGGAAAGAGAAGTGTATCTGAAAGTTGGAAATGAGTAATTTAAAATAAATAAATCAATAAAATCTGTAAGCTACTATTGGTATTGCCCTCTCTTTCTCCAAGGTTGCATCGGCAGCTTTGCTGATGCCAGCAAAGGTGTGAAGCGATGGCCAGATGCTCTCTGGAGTATGCAATAAAATTGTATGAACTATTTGCCATGGCAGTGGGAGGTCAACATGCCCCTTTTTTGCAGTAGGTAAGCTGAAGTAAAAAGGGAATAGCAACACCAGCCTGTGTGAATCTTTATTAATATTAATATTTATATTTCTATCCCGCCTTTCTCAACCCGAAGGCGACTCAAGGTGACTTACAAGTTGGCAGCAATTTGATGCCATAATAATCACAGCGTACAATTAAAAACATATAAAAAACAACATTATATAACCCCTACAAAACTATTAAAAACATAATGAATCGTGAAGTGGTTCATATTATAGCAGCTGTTCATGCTTGCCCCAAAGTGTGGGACTGCTCAGTGTCATTAAGGACTTCATCACCTGGAGGTCCTTAAGCTGGAAGACAGCAGGGGCATCCATGGGACAGCAGTGTAAATCATTGGACATGTTCTCAAGATTGCCCCTTAGCACACTGCTGAGATGCAGCCAGGATAGAGCTGAGACAGAGCCTTGCTGGAAGTAGCCCTGCATCATGTGGTGGGCTCTGTCCAGGTTACATCTCAGCAGCATCTGATAATGGAGATGAAAGCCTATGTGATGAAGTCTTAGAACTCTAGAGCATTCTCAGACTAAGGGCAGTTCCAGACAGCACTTTAACCCAGGAGCAATCGTGTTTCTTAATGCAATTGCTCTGCCAGATGCCCTGCCAGACCTCTGGTAAGGCACCCAGACACAAAATAAAAACCCCAAGAAAAGCACTAAAAAGTAAAAATAACTTCTCAGCTGCCATCAGAACTTGCAGCACACCTCCTGGAATGTACCAAAGCAAGGGGGAGGCAGGAGTGACTTGTGTTCCCTCTTGCTTTCTTGGCATAATTGGTACACTCCAGGCTTAATGGTGGGTGGTAAGTTATTTTTACTTTTTAGGGCTTTTCTGGAGGGTTTTGGGAAGGGATGAGGGCAATTTTGCACCAGGAGCCCAGAAGGTGCGAGATGGTTGTTTACACTGGCTTCAGGGAAGTCCCAGGACTCCCCGTGGGTCTTTCCACACAGGGCCATAGCCCATGAGACGGGTCTGATTAATTTGGAACAAAGGAGAATTTTTCTGCCTTGTGCTGAATTAATTCATTTTTACTGGAAGCGTCATTTGGCCACCCTCCATTTTGTAGCAGGAGCTCCTGGGATAAAGGTACTGTCTGGAGGCCCCTAAGGCCCCTTCTGCACTGCCATATAATCCAGATTATGAAGCAGATAATCCATATTATCTGCTTTGAATTAGATTATATGAGTCTACACAACCATATAATCTAGTTCAAAACAGATAATCCAGATTGTATATGGCACTGTTATAACGTGTGGTAAAATACAGTTTTACACTGTATTACATGATATTGTCTGGTCATCCAGAAGCAACTTCTGTTTGAATGTAGGGTTGGAGCCAGTATATGAAAGCCCATTCTCTCTCTCTCTCTCCCTCCCCTCTCTCAACACTCCAAAATTTTATGCCATAATCAGTCCTCACTGGGTTTTAGAAAGGAGATCTTGCTGTTATATGGAAAATAGATGCATTTGCCCACCCCAGCAATATTACAACTTAGATACAACCATTGGTAAAATAGCATTTTTGCATAAACCAGGAAAGATCCATCCCAACAGTTAAACTGTTCTGGAAGACTTGAACTGGAAATACATGGCATGATGCAATTGCATTTCCCATGGCATGTTAGCATTGTATTAAATACGACTGGGGGATTGGTGAATGAAGTCCTTGTCTTTGGCTTTTGACTAGTTGATTAAACGCTGTTAACATCAGAGGTTTTAAAGGATTTTTCTTTAGAAATAATCAAGACAATCTTTATTTAAATATTTGTGTTCTGCTTAGGCTTTGAGGGCATAGTTTTTATTGCTCTCAGTGAAAGCACAAGTGTCTTGCAGGAAAAGGTTTGCTCCACACTGAAATCATATTTTGATAGCTTCAAATGTATGCAGGAAAATACCATATAAATAGCAGAACAGGAAATTCCACTTGATCCAACACTTATTGTCATCTTTGGCTCCACTATAAGGCAGCGGCAGGCCTAGAGTGTTTATACGTGGTTTGGTTTGCTATCCCATTCACATACAATACTATGGCTGAGATAAAATATTTGGGTGTCAAGTATTTAAACATGCTTTCACATATTAAAATAAATGTAAATGGTATTCGCGATATAAGAAAAAGAATCATGCAACGTTAATTATTGGTTGTTTAAAAAACTATACTTGACATGCATAGTAAAAATGCAATTTCTAGTGCCATTTTTGTTACATTCTGTCTCATTTCCAGCTGACAAAAATAGGATGCTGTATAGACTACTTTATTTTCACCTCCTTTTTCATATTGATATTATTGATTTTTCCCCTTTTATTGGCTTTGCAGTTTGAGTGCATTCATTCATTTTGCTTTCCATTTGTATCTCTTTCTTCATTTCACATTTAGCTACTATCAACTTGCTCATGATAGTAGCTAATCACCCCTCAAAAACAAATAGCTAAATTTTATCTGTATAATTTCTTGAAATTCTATCAAGCCAAATAATTTATAGTACCCATAAATAGGGTTAGCTTCTTTGTTCCTGTAGTTTTGTTAACTGCCATCAAGTTGCATTCATTGATTTTGACATGGAGAACCTATAAATGCGTGAGTGGGATTTGGGAGGGGGGTGTTTAGTTTCTAAATGCTTTAAATATAACTTTAAGGGTTATATTTTTATAACTTTAATTGTATTTTATAGTATTTTAACTTTTGCATCCATGACACAAATATTTTAATTGTGTGTGTGTGTGTGTAGAAGGTAAAGGCTTCTGCTTGACATTAAGTCTCGTCGAGTCCAAATTGGGGTAGTGCTTATCCTCATTTCTAAGCCGAAGAGCCGGCATTGTCCGTAGACACCTCCCAGGTTATGTGGTCAGCATGACTGAATGGAGTGCTGTTACCTTCCCACCGAAGCGGTACCTATTGATCTACTCACATTTGCATGTTTTTGAACTGCTAGGTTAGCAGAAGCTGGGGCTAACAACAGGACCTCACCCCATTCTGTGGATTCAAACCACCGATCTTCTGGTCAGCAAGTTCTGTAGCTTAGCAGTTTAACCCGCTGCCCCATATATATATAGTTTTTAAATTGTGTTGGATTGGATTGTTAGCCACCTTGAGTCCCTATAGGGAAAAAGACAGGATAAAAATAAAGTAAATAAGTAAACAAATAAATAACGATAAGCCTCCAAGTCACTTATAATCAATAGTGTATGAAATCATCATTAAATACATTTGAAATTTAACTGCAAAAAATTCTGAATCTGAAACTCTCTCATCATTTAATGGACCAAATCCTTTATTTTTAAAGTCAGCAATGATAGGGGACAGGGGCTTGCTAGACAATATTCAAGGACACTTCCGTGTCACTGGGCTAAAGAAAAAGGATGTATGGCCTATGGGACATATTTTGCCCACACTTGATTTACAGTTTACTTTTGTAGATTACTACTGTTGATGTTGCTCTGCAAGTTAGATAACTGGGTTCTGATCTTCTTTTGTAGACTTTACATTTCCAGTTTATGGAACTCAACAGATGTCATGGTGAGTTTTGAATACTATCATTCTATACTCACTTTAAACGTTCTTTGTTTCATTACAGCATCATACAGAGTCTGCCAATCCAACCGTGCTACCACCATCGGCTCTGCCATTAGAATTGTTAAACAATGCTGTTGCTGGATTTAGTACAGTGGAGGAACTTATCAGGTACCTTGAACCAGATAGATGGCAACTAGATTTGGAAGATCTATACAGACCAACATGGCAGCTTCTTGGGAAAGCATACATTCATGGGAGAAAATCTAAAGGTAACTACCTATCTCATTTCTCTTATCTCTTTTCCTCATCTCCATGCTATATTAACCCCTTGTGAGAATTTTGTTATCAAGGCATTTTTATACCTATGTGTTTATTATACAGTATCTTCATGTTCATAATTCCTGAGCTATTTCCCACTGAGGTAAGATCGGCTCCGTCCCTCCTGTCATTTAGGAAGAAATTGAAGTCGTGGTTCTGGGAGAGATAGATAGCACTTTGAACATGAGATTGGATATGGAAGTGGATATTGCTGTGTTATTATATATTGGCATCGAATTGTGCCAAATGTAAGCCATCCTGAGTCCCCCTTCGGGGGTTGAGAAGGAACGGGATAGAAATACCGGAAATTATTATTATTATTAATATTATTATTATTATTAATAATAATAATAATAATAATAATAATTACTTCTTTCACAATATACCTTGTTAACAGTCTTGAAATAGTATAGACTATCTGGTGCTACATTTCTGCTCATATGACTCCTCGTCGCTCATTAACATTTATTACTGCAAACAATATAGACAACCACTATATCCTCAGATCACATCTTTTATGGAAAATTGCAAATATGCTTTTGTGTATTGGTGGCACAGTGGGTTAAACTGTTGAACTTGCTGATCAAAAGGTTGGGGTTCAAAATTGGGGAGCTGGGTGAGCTCCTGCTGTTAGGCCCAGCTTCTACCAACCTAGCAGTTAAAAAACATGCAAATGTGAGTAGATCAATAGGTACCGCTTCTGCAGGAAGGTAATGGCATCCCATCAGACATGCTGGCCACATGACTTTGGAGGTGTCTACGTACAACGCCGGCTCTTCGACTTAGAAATAGAGATGAGCATCACCCCCCAGAGTCGGATATGACTGCAGTAAAGCTGGCAATAAATGTTATGACTTTACATTGGCAAAATGTGTTTTTTAAATGAAATTTTGAAAGTGCGTACTTGAATACTCTTTGTACAAACTCTCAGCTATTTCCAACTTGGCCTTCTTTGGTTTAAAATTCATTTTTGAATGCACATGCATACCTTAGTTTGAAATCCGGTACTTATTCACTTGGGTATAAAACCAATTGAAAGTAATAGATTTAAACTTCTAAATACAAATATTGATAAATGTGTTATAAATGGCCCAGCACACACTTAAATATAAATAAAATAAATCAGTATCTATTGACTTGTCAAAACTTCTTTCTGGAGGTGGAAAAGAAGGCAAGGATGAATCACAGCTGTATTATGTCTGATAATAGGTTGTTCCACTGGTTCTTTTCCATTTGATCCCACACAATAATCAGGTTATTCACGATGAGAAGGCAAGTACATCGTTGAAGCAATAGGGTTCGAATTCCATGTTAAAACCCGTTTCCTTACTTGTATAGATTAATGGAAGAGGGATTTTCTTTCACTTCCTTTTGAATTTACCTTGAGTTTAGATGAAGATCCCCATGATATAAAAGTTGGCTAGCCCTTGCTTTTGCTTGGGAACAGAAGTGTCTCATATTTCCGATTTTGGAGGATTTCAGAACACCCTTCTTTATGTGTACATAATGATATGTCTCTAATCAAATACTATTGAGGTGGTGGCTGCAGCTCTCCTGTGTGTTTGTTTCTCAGATACTCAATCTCACTCCATCATTGTGGTGGCACAATGGGTTAAATCCTTGTGCTGTCTGAACTGCTGACCCAAAGGTCAGTGGTTTGAATCCATGAGACGGGATGAGCACTAATCTGTCAGCTCCAGCTTCCTATGCGGGGATATGGGAGAAGCCTCTCACAAGCATCCCCTGGGCAACGTCTCTGCAGATGGCCAATTCTCTCACACCAGAAGCAACTTCCAGTTTCTCAAGTCACTTCTGACACAATCAAAAATATTATGAATCTGAGGTTGTTGAGAGATTGAAGATCTAGGAGATGAATAAGCGGAAGTGCCACTGCCACCTCCATGGCTGAAGCAGACAGCAGACAGTTATAATTATAAAGGATTCCAGATTTCCAGATTAAGGAAAGTGGGTAGTTCAACCTTTCAGTGTATTTCTAGAAATGTCTGTTCAGAAATAAGTCTCTAGCTATTCAATGCAGATTACTTCTAAGTTTGTATAAGGTTATAACTTTATTGTGTTCAGTATTAATGCTAGTGATGTTGACAGTATTTTGCCCCTTTACCCATCTCCTTTCTTATTCACTGATGACATCTAAGCATCACTATAACAAAAGGAATAGGGTTGTATCAACATTAAATTTCATATCTTGGCAAACTTGTAAAAAATGTTGCTATGGAATAGCAACTAGGGAAAAAATGTTTCCAAAGTTTTGGATGTCTACTTTGAATTTAGGATAAATTTCTGGATTCTTATCTATATCTTTGCTATATACAAGTTTACATGAACTCTGATGTCCTATTTGTGGTGATGCGGTGATTATGATTTCGTGTGGACAGTATTTTAAAGATATCTAAAGAGCACTTTTCTAATTAGAATATTGCTCTTTTGTCAGTGTGTATCATAAAGTGACACAAAGACTTCAGTTAAAATCTATTCAAAACCAATTCCACCAAAGCAAAGTTTTTCTCAACCACCCACAACCAAAAGAAAACTTTATGTAGATAGGACAACTCTTTTTAAAAGAAATATAATTAGATGCTAAAATAGAATTGCCACTGAATAAACTTATCAAACTATTGCCACATCTTTTTCTTTAAAAAAAATATATTGCATTACTGAGTTTGTGATATAATAACCTAATGTAGAAAGGGTGTCCCCTTGAGAGAACATGACATATAGAATTGTTCCAGAAATGAAATGTTTGGTTTTCAATACAATGTTAGGGGCTTGATAGAACATCTTATGGAATGGAGCGGGTGGTGGGAACAGAGAGTGTTGAGTTTTCAGTAGAAAGTATATGGCTTGAAGTGTCATAATTTATTTTAATTTGCATTTATCTTTATAATAATCATTGTTGGTAGCAGCAGCGTAAAGAAACAAATGAGTAATTCCAATATGTGTACAGCTGGCATTTCTGTGTTACTTTTCTAGAAATAGGTTGAATGCCTAGGAGAAACTGTTAAAAATCTAGTTCCATCGCTATTTTAATGTAGATAAATATTAAGATCAGAAGAGTGATCCTGATGTTTATTTCCCTCTTTTTGGGGTGGGTTGAGGAGAAATCCTTTCAATTTCTTTTTTATGCATGTTTTGTATAATACAGGAATTGACAATTTCTGCAGGGACCAATTTTTGTTGCAGTCCAGCATTCCCCTAAGCATAGCATAGCATATATATAAATTAACATGTGGAGATATGCTACATCAGCACTAGACAAACCCCATGCCAAATAACAATGCTGTGCAATGTTAATGTGTAAATCATATTGTGCAGCTGGAATGCACAATATTGCTATGTATGCATCTCCCCTTTCACCACTGTAAGCAGAATATGGCAATTTCTCTATGGATAATAATTAGCAGCGAATGTTCAGTTTAGTTCCTTTATGTATGTGGTGCTAATAGGATGCCAGCATGTAGATCTATGACAGATTTCTGCACCTTACATTTGGCTGGAAAGCAATCACAAATCTGACTTCTGACTACTTTTGGCACCCATGTCTGTTTTTTCAGGGCCCTTCCACCCAGCCCTATATCCCAGAATATCAAGGCAGAAAATCCCACACTATCTGCTTTGAACTGGAATATATGGCAGTGTGGACTCAGATAACCCAGTTCAAAGCAGAAATTATGGGATTTTCTGCCTTGATATTCTGGGTTATATGTTTGTGTGGAAGGGTCCTCAGTGCTGGTTTTCTTGGTTTTGAGTGGACTTTATTGCATTAACCCTGAAGCAGGAGTGGCACTTGAGGGGATGGGGCTTCCACCCAAAAAGATATAGCTAGCCTGCAACATGCACTTTTCCCATCCTTGGTATGATGCAAAAATCAGCTGTAATCTGTAGAATTTAAAAGATAAATTCCCCATCTCCCTTCAGTTCTTTTAAATGTTTTCCATGCAGGATCTCCTGAATCCACTCAGACATGACATCCACTCAGACAGTTTCTCTTCCTAAACAGAATTATTCCCATTTTTTATTCCGTATGGGCCCTTCCACACAGCCTTATAGCCCAGAATATCAAGGCGGAAAATCCCGCAATAGCTTTCAACTGGGTTATCTGAGTCCACACTGAGATAATGCGGGATTTTCTGCCTTGATATTCTGGGATATAGGGCTGTGTGGAAGGGCCCTATGAGTCAAAAACTTGAGAAGTAATCACTTGGCACCCTTCCATGCAACCATATAACCCAGAATATCAAGGCAGAAAATCCTTCCAATATCTGCTTTGAACTGGGTTATCTGAGTCAACACTGCCATATATCCCAGTTCAAAGCAGGAGATGTGGGATTTAATTCAGCTGTGTGGAAGGGGCCTTGGTCTCTTCTCTAACCTCTGCTACTAATGGGGGGGGGACTACATGATTTTGATTGGCAAGGGAAATTTTGTGCTTGAGAAGAAAGCAGAATCTCATAAAGATGAATTCCCTGATTTAATTTAAAATTGTTGTGCATGGATGACCAACAAAGCAGATATTGTGAGATTTTCTGCCTTGGTATATTCTGGGTTATATGGCTGTGTGGAAGGGCCCTCAGAAGCTCCTCGCACAGACCATTTGGTGAACAGCTATTACTAAATGCCTTTTTATAATTAAAACATCTGGTTTAATTCTCATTGAAGGTTTTATATATTCCACTTGCAAATTTTGTTTTTAATAATCAGTGCTTCAAAAACATTTTTATTTGAAGGCACACAGTATGAGCATTTCCCTGTTTGAGTTGGATTGGGTTCTCAGGTAAAAGCTCTGATTCATGCAGTTACATTTGCCACTGCAAACAACCCTGTGTTCTTTCTGAGGTCGCTCTAAAAAGTCCTTTGACTACTGTGTCAAAGATGATGGATGAAAGGGAGCCCAGTTCAAAGGGTGTTTAAATGTTCACTTTATAATAGGTTTTGTAGCTGAATCCACTTTGTAGTTCCAAATAACCTTTTCTTCTGGTTACGTAAACATTTTAAGGGAATGTGTGTGTGTGTTTTCTCATCTTGCATTTTAACCTACAATGTATTAAACAATACTGTAGGCTAGGCAGATATGGGAATCAAGGCAGATACAGGAAAGAAGGAAGGAGTAAAGTGGATTTTTTTCAGTTCTAAATTTCAACTGAAAAAAGCCTTACATGAAGCTACTAATAATCTATTCAAGTAAAAACATAATATTTTGAAAAGGCAATGAAACTTAATTTTCCAGTTCCAAATAATTTTAGATTTATTTTATTTATTTATCACAACAGGAGTGAACCAAACAGTTGTATTGTAAAAAAACAAAATTTGAAAACTTGGCATTCTATTAAATGTCCTTTGACCAGTAACTGGCCACTTGGAGTGCCTCTGGTGTTGCTATAAGAAGGTCCTCCATTGTGCACGTGGCAGGGCTCAGGTTGCATTGCAATAGGTGGTCTGTGGTTTGCTCTTCTCCACACTCACATGTCGTGGACTCCACTTTGTAGCTCCATTTCTTAAGGTTGGCTCTGCATCTCATGGTGGCAGAGCACAGTCTGTTCAGCATCTTCCAAGTTGCCCAGTTTTCTATGTGCCCAGGAGGGAGTCTCTCATTTGGGATCAGCCATGGATTGAGGTGCTGGGTTTTAGCCTGTAACTTTTGGACTCTCGCTTGCTGAGGTGTTCCAGCAAGTGTCTCTGTAGATCTTAGAAAACCATTTCTTGATTTAAGTTGTTGGCATGCTGGCCGATATCCCAAAAGGGGATGGGCCGAAGATGTCACTGCCTTGGTCCTTTCACTATTGGTAGCTATTTCCCAGCAGATGTCAGGTGGTGCAGTACCAGCTAAACAGATAGAATCTGCATATTGGTTTTATAATGTGAGCTTACTGCAATTTAGAAACAATTCCTTGCCACCAAATTCTAAACTAAGAATCATAAGGAAAAAAAATTATTGTAGTTATTATTTATTTTTGTGTTATTGTGCATTCCCCGCCCACCCAAAAAATCCCTTATTGTTTATGAGAAACGTATATGAAAGGATCAGAAAACATCTCAAACATCATAACATCTAAATACCATTTTAGGAACTGTTTAATCTGAACCAATATAATGAATATATGATATGTTTCCCTTTTTGAATCCTTCAGTTGTAGATTTGAACCTTCTGAGGGAGGAAGTACGAATGTACAGCTGCACACCACGCAACTTCTCTGTGTCGCTACGTGAGGAGCTAAAGCGAACAGACACCATCTTCTGGCCGCTTTGTCTGCTGGTTAAACGTTGTGGTGGAAATTGTGCCTGCTGCCAGCATTCCTGTACTGAGTGCCAATGTGTCCCCACAAAGGTTACCAAAAAATACCATGAGGTATACTGTTTTATTTAAGCTTTGCTTTTCATTGTGGACACAGACAACTATTTATGAAACAATTTTCAGGGTGATAATTATCTTAGTCAGTGCAACATAATCAACAAAGGCTCCCATGGCATCTTAAGGTTATGACCTTTGAGTCACTTTGAGTCTCCTTTGTTGAAAGAAAAAGCAATGTAATAAATAATAATAATAATAATAATAATAATAATAATAATAATAATAATAATAATTCTGTACTCATTATTCGCCGATACATCACAGTCCTAGACACTTGGGAAGTGTCCAACATGTGGTCCAATACAACAGCCAGCAGAATGTCTGCTGTGGACTCATCTTGCTGTGTTTCAAATAATAATAATGATGATGGTGTTTATGGCATTTTATTTGGTTGAAAGTAAAGTGATTGAGGCATCTGATGAAATGAGCTGCAGTCCATGAAAGCTCATACCAAGTAAGGCTTGTTAGATTTCAAGGTGCCACAAGACTGTTTGTTGTTAACAAAAGCTAACAGAATCCCTTTGTTAAGACCAAACAGCACTCAGTTTGCTGCACCAGAGATTTCAAGTTATCTTCTCCAGAGCAGAGAAAATTGCCTGTCCAAATGTACAGTATTATGACGGTAAACAATGGGTGACTTCAGGTTTGGAGACCCTCAACTGAGATGACCTCAGCGAGGTGCCTTTAATTGGCTTCTGTCCTTGGACCAAAGAATTTGTGAATAAAGAGGTGGCAATAACTCCTGTTATCCATCCTTGCTGTTCCTTTGCTCATTCCTTCTGAACTCAAGGGTGGACAAAGATAAAGGCAGAAACAGCAAAGAAGCAACGTCTCCTCAGCAAAGGAGCTCCTGCTGAAACTTAGCCAGCATCCTTCATAGATGATCATCCATGGTGACCTTAGATACCAGCATTTGATTCAGTGTGTGGATGGCAGTGGGAAAGCTTTTGGAAGCATCTTTGGAATGAAGCTATCCATCTTTAATATGGAGTAATTCTTTCTTGGATCAAGAAACTATCTTGTTTATAAGCTTTCCAATTAACAACAGATCACCAGTAACACCCCTCTCCCCTGTTATACAAGTGGAATGGTGGATCCATGAGCAATTTGCCATAGAGCTATAGCACAAATATTTATTAGCCTGAAAGATGTTTTAGTGTTCAATGCACAGCTGGTTTCTATTATAGTGGTGGGAATGGGTTCTACATAGTGACTAAGTGGAAATCTAATGAAAAGACTGTCGCTTTACAGGTCCTGCAACTGAAGCCGAGAAACGGAGTTAGAGGACTGCATAAATCTCTGACCGATGTACCTTTGGACCACCATGAGGAGTGTGACTGTGTATGTAAAGGGCATTCAGAAGGATAAAAGGAACTATATGTACTTCTCCTTCTTTGCAGCACATACAAAGAGTGGCTGATGTTGTTCTGGGATTGTGCATTAATTTCCTTCTGTAATCTCAGTTGTTTGCTTTGAGAATCTTTGGTCTTCAAGATTTGACACTGCTGGGGCACACAGAAAGAAGAAACCAAGATGGGATTATATATGCAATGTAACAGGAAGGTTGCTTGAAGGCCCCCAATCAGGATGAAGAGAAGAAGGCATCAATGCGGGATTGTTTTCCCCCTTCAATATATATATAAATATATATAATATCATCTCCCTCAAACATCTTGTATTTTAAAAGATTGAAGTTTAGAAGTGTAGGGAAAAACAATAGTAAAAAAAACCTTGGACTCATTCCTGCAAAATTTTGTTTGCAGGTTTTATTTTGTTTCTCTTTGTCTGTTACTTCTGGCTTGTATTCAGAATATCTGGAATTTCTCTTAACTCAACTCACCAGCACCTGTATATTTTAAATCAAAAGTGTTTTTAATTGTCTTACAGACAGTCTTATTCCGATTTAAATTTAATTTGTCATTGATGCAATAGAAAATGAAAGACTTTCCAGTAAGGTTGCTGTTGTTTACTAAACATTCAGTGGTCAGTATATGTGAACAAGGAAGAAAACAAACAACATTCAAGGTGTGGCTCTTTTCTTGTTTTTATGCCCTGCAAGTATTTTTGTTTGTTTATAATTTTATTGTGTACATTTTTATACTCTCTTTGACAGCATAACTATTTGCTTTTCTAATCTTGTTAAATATATCTATTTTTACCAAAGGTATTTAATATTCTTTTTTTATTACAACGTAGATAAAATACTGTTTAGTTTTGTAAGACTTCGGAGTCAGAGATATAGAATAGAGGAAGAATTAACTGTTTCTAAAAGGCGAGAATCTAAATCGTGTATCTGCACATTAAAAAGGTAAACAAGGGACGTGAAAATATTACTCTGAATTTCATAATTTTATAACTAGCTTCACAATGCTGGTGGATGACAAAGGAACATAGTGGCAGTCAAACCGTCCTCTTCAAAAAAATAGTGCCTCAGTCCAGATGAGGTCTGTGCACAGAAGCAGGCTTCAGCACATTTAAATAAGTTAATATATATTGGCTGTTACATCAAGAAGCATTGCCATAAATTTGGTAATAATCACAATACCTGTGTGCTATTGCTCTCATTGGGTTTCATTTTCATAATTTTTTATGTATATTCCCATCAACATTCTGGTGCAATTACTTATAAAAATACCATTTTGATATGTGACTGGTATACGGTCTGGAAGCAGTTGTCTTCAAAACCACCATGAACCCAAAACAGAGAGGCCTGCTCTATCTTATAGCACTCATCTTAGCAAATTTCAGCTGCATATAGTGGACCTTTCTTTCTAGCAAATATGATGAGTATGTAGTCTTATTTCATTGTTAAATTAAGAAGTGAAAGAAAGATTGACGAGAGCATAACCAACACACATTAAGTGCCTCCAGAATACATAAAAGTGCTCATGAAAAAGACACACATATTTATTGCAACAGGTGTAAGGTTTTTATTTTTAATATTATTTTATTATTTTATTATTATTATTATTGATGGTTATTTCCTCATAAGAACAGTGGGCTTCCAGTATTCTAGTGATGTATAATATAGTTTCGTGAAATGCAGTTTTGTTTATGTACAGTCTATATGTAAGCCAGCACATTTATCCCACCCACCCTTTGCAAGCTCTGAAAAAGCAGTAAAATATTTTGCTTGTAAAATGCTTCAACACTGTGTAGTGTGTTTTTCTGTGTTCCTATTTACTGTTTGCATTTCTATATTTTAAGAAGACTAATGATAATTGCACTTGCTAGGGAAGAAATTGGATACCATCAACATTCATACATAGTACATAGTTCAAATTTAGTAAAAAATTCCAGGCATACAGTCTTATCCTGCACATCCATATCTAGCAGTTCAGTCTGCTGGTAATATTAGAATGTGTTGCCTGCAACATATGGTGACCCCGTACATTTCATAGAACCCTCTTTGAGAAGGAATACTCAGAGATGGTTTCTCTGAATATAACCTACAGTATCTGTTTATTACCAACACCACATTTCTCCATCCACAGATATTTCTGATTTTTACCATTGCTATTTATGTCAGTGGAAATAGAAAATATGTAAGTAAAAAAAGCAGTAAGTCTGCATTTACACAAGCAGGTTCTCATATAGTTATCAGTTGGAAAATAATTTGTCAACTCATGGACAATATCACATATTATTTCCTGAATATTGTTTTTTAGTGAGAATGAATTTGCATTCTGTTACCATAAAATATTTTCAGTTTTACAAGTTATGGTTTAGGATTGGAAATGCATTTGTTATGCTTTTTTGTGGGGTGGAGTGTTCAGCTGGCTTGCGATGTTTGTGATCTGATAGCTGCTAAAGAGATTTCTTCAGTTTTTCTTGCAATATCCCTCCAGTGTTTACATCTGCTTTGTTAATCATTACTTTAGAGTTAAGTCTGAAAAGATAAGAATGTGAGATTACAGTGTGCCACAGGATAGCAAAGAACCTGAACCTAGAAAAGTAATCCTGTGTGAAATCACACCTTTATTTTTCAACCTGCTCAGGTTTCTAGAAAGAAAGACTTTGAACTATAGCCAGATAACTTCCACATGAAAATCGGCTTCCGGTGGAAAATAAGAATACAAAGAACAAAGCAAATATGGGATACAATCCAGAGCAGCATAAATGAATGAGAATTTTCCATTTGCTTTAAAGGAGTATGGATTGCACTCTTGCTCCTTTCTTTTATCCAGAAACCCAGAGTTAAGTATCTTCAAAGAGAAATGAAGTGATAGATTGCAGAAGCTGCTCATACCTTGGAGAATGCTTTTTTACCAGCCATTCCTTAGACCACGGGTCCACAACCCTTTTTAACAGAGGGCCAGGTCACAGTCCCTCAAACTGCTGGAGGGCCAGATTATAATTTTTAAAAAGCATGAATGAATTCCTATGCACACTGCACATATCTTATTTGTAGTGCAAAAAACACTTAAAAACAATACAATAATTAAAATAAAGAACAATTTTAACAAATATAAACTTATTAGTATTTCAATGGGAAGTATGAGCCTGCTTTTGGCTGATGAGATAGGATTGTTGTTATTGTGTGTTTTCAAGTCATTTCAGACATAGGTTGACCCTGAGTGAGGGCCAAGTAAGTGACCTTGGAGGACCGTATCCAGCCCCCGGGCCTTAGTTTGAGGACCCCTGCCTTAGACACATAATAATTGGAATAATATTTATTTTTATTTTTCAGTTGTTGTTTTTGTTGTTGCTATTGCCTAAACTGCTGAGCTACTGAACTTGCTGACTGAAAGGTTGGCAGTTCAAATCCAAGGAGCGGGGTGAGCTCCCGCTGTTACCCCTAGCTTCTGTCAACCTAGCAGTTAGAAAACATGCAAATGTTAGTAGATCAATAGGTAGCTCTGCTCCGGGAAGGTAATGGCACTCCATGCTGTCATGCCGGCCACATGACCTTGGAGGTGTCCATGGACAACACCGCGGCTCTTCAGCTTAGAAATGGAGATGAGCACCAACACCCAGAGTCGGACACGACTAGACGTGATGCCAGGGGAAACCTTTACCTTTACTATTGCCTAGTTCATAGATATGGGGTTAGGTAAAGGTAAAGGTAGTCCCCTGACATTAAGTCCAGTCATGTCTGACTCTGGGGTGTGGTGCTCATCTCCATTTCTAAGCCAGCGTTGTCCATAGACACCTCCAAGGTCATGTGGCCGGCATGACTGCATGGAGCGCTGTTACCTTCCCGCCAGAGCGGTACCTATTGATCTACTCACATTTGCATGTTTTCGAACTGCTAGGTTGGCAGAAGCTAGGGCTGACAGCGGAAGCTCACGCCGCTCCCCGGAATCGAACCTGCGACCTTTCGATCAACAAGCTCAGTGCTTTAACCCACTGTGCCACCGGGGGCTCCGATATGGGGTTAGAAACCATTAATAACATACTTTTGTACGAAGACCCACAATATTGCAGCAATGTAGCAAAACAAAGGGGGTCAACGTGAGAGCAGTACCTCCTAATAAATATTCTGCCATCCTCTCCTTTGAAAGACTGGAATAATGTTTCGATGTATAATAGAATGATCAATCTCTACATTGGCCTGTATGAGTACAAACTATGGCTCATGAATATCAACTGCAAAATCCCACATGTTTACCACTTAGGAGTAATCTACAACCAGTGGTTTACTATAGTGTACCTATGCCCCAGAGCAGTCCCAGATCTGCCATGTTCATGCCAAATCCAGGGCTATTGTTCAGATGGCCTGGCGATGCATTTGCTCTAGTGGCATTATGTCTTCTGTGTTGCTGCTGCTGCTGCTCCTTAGCTGGCCATGAACTAATAGTTGACATCAGAATATCCATTTCTGTTTAAACATTTTTTCCTGAAGGCTGTTCTTAATGGTACATGAGAGCTATAGTCTAAACAAATTTTATCTCCCCCCCCCCAAAAAAAGAGAGAAACTTTTCCCAAAATTGATCTTTAATGGGTTTCTCCCATTAATGAATTAACCAACTGCCCTCTCTGTGCATATTCTTATACTCAGATTGTTGAATCCTTCCTCAAATAATCATGTATTCAGAAGTATCAAATCCTGTCTCCTTCTTGCTGGTTTTACAGGAGGCTCATTCTGATGTCAACTAACAAGTTTGCTTGTTCTGCAAAGCAGAGCTATCCGAAAACTTTCATTGTTTGGACTATAGCTCCTTTGACTTATTGCAAAGGTGTTAAAAACAAGTGCTTGGAAAACTTTATACTCAACCAGTGACACATGTTCTCATTTGGTAGATTTTGTGCTTTTAATTTGAAAAATATGTTCTGAGCAACTGTGGTTGATGCTAAATGTATTGGGCTTGTTGACATCACCAGTGTAAATCCCTAGGTCTCAGGTTTGGGCAATTAAATCTCAAGGCCAGGGATGTTCCGGAGTTGGCAATTCTAATGAGGAATTTTCAGCTGTTCCGTATTTGGTACAAGAGGGAGGTTTCAGTCCTGGGTTTTTGATGGCAGAACCAGGAGGAGTGATTCCTTTTCCTGTTGCTGCTTTTCATGTAATCCATTGGAAGACTGAGAAAACATCTGGACTGAGTTTCTGGCTGGTGCAGAAGACTGCAGAGAAAAACAAAAGAAATGTCCACTATGATGGGCAGTGAACCATTGCATTGAACACATTGTGTTTATTTATTTTACCACAATTTTCTATTTATTACTGATTAATCAATTAATTCATTTTTTATAAATTCATATAACTATCCACTCAATTGAATCAAAGTTCTGAATTTGACTAATTCACAGGAGTAAATTTGTGTGTAAATAAAATAGACACCAAGAAAGTGAAATGCTTCATATGTGTGTGTGTGTGTGTGTGTGTGAATGATGTAAACATATGTGAATAATGTGGGTTGGGGGAGTTGTAAATGAGTAGAAAGAGCTGAAAGTTGCCACAAATTGTACATGCTCCGATTACAGAATTCATCCATTAATTTTAAGATCTAGTTAAATATAAATTCTGGAAGGTGGAATGCAGACAGAGTGAATCCATGGAATACTAAAGGACAGAAGAAAATTGCTTCTGTAGCATATGTGTAAACATTTCTGCTGGCAGTTATATAATACACTGTAATTCAATTTCCCAAACGTTTATACACCTTAGAACGGCTGGAAACAAAACAGAAAAAGAAGACACTGGTGTTTCAGACTTTCCTTTTTGATTACTTCTTCAAAATGTCCTGTGTGGTATGCTAAATTACTGGTTCAATGACTTTCCTAAAAAAATGTCTACTGCATGTCAGTTCTTGCTTGCTTTGTGTATTTTTTTAAGGTAAAGATAACATTTCCATTTTCTTTCAAGTACATTCAGCAGGTCAACAAGTTTAACTTCCTGAAGACATGTCAGTTTCTAAAGTAATGGTGTGCTAACATATTTTGGGGAAACAGGAACTAAAATACAGTGGGCCCATTCCACTGAGGTGGGTTTTTTTTTTTTGCACAAAATTCCCTACAAAAGACAGAGCACTGCAACAATAGGACATTCTTGTTTGTTTGTTTGTTTGTTTGACTTGTACATGTTACTGGTTCATACCC